CAAAATTACACTGCCACTGAGAAAATTGGTAAAAAAATAAAGAAAAAAAAAAAAAAAAAAAAAAAACAGATTATATGGTGCGACAACAGGGACAAAACGTTAAAGACAATGAAAGACTTTTTTCAAAGTGACAACATTTTGATAGCACCAGACTTTGACAAAATGTTCACATTAGTGACAGATCCATCAAATTATGGATTAGGACCATGCCTTCTGAAAGAGATTGACAATTAACTCAGATCAATACTATATTTGAGAAGATCTCTAACTAAATTTTAGGTGAATTACTCAACAATAGAAAAGGAATATTAGGCAGTGGTTTGGTGACACACTAGTACAGAAATATTTGTTGGGCGGTAAATTCATTTTACTAGCAGACCATACGCCACTAATGGCATTGGAAAACAAAGAGAGCCGCTAACAGTGAGATCAACAGATGATCACTTGTTCTGTTATACTATTAAAATGAAATCAAAACTATAAAGATAAACACACCATCGTGGCAGATAACATTTTGGCAAGACAAAGACAAGTCAAGCACAATGACAAAGCGGTAGCATTGAGAGATGTTAATCAAAGTTTATAAATTTTTCAATTCAAATTTAGAAATACAGTAGAAATAAACATATTCAATGAGTTGGTAATAGCCTCACATGACTATAATATTTGGACAATTTGTTAATATACAATGTTGTTCATATTTTTCATTTAATCCCATTCTGTATATGATTTATGTTTAACAACAAGCATACGGTCATATTTACATTGATGTCAGGACTGCATGGCTGCCTGGCGATTTGAGATAACAATGGTTATAATCTGGTGATGTACCACGTGTTACAGGCTAGTTCAGTTTTTCGCCCAATGATTTTCTTTTCAATTTGAATCTAATAAGTATCTAATAAGTATATAATAAGTATCTAATAAGTATCTAATAAGTATTTAATTTTTTCTAAGGTAACATTGGGGTCTTTGCCAAAAAATGTTTTTACGTTAGGAGCCATGGGACGGCCTTTAGGGACTATATCCGGCTGTATGGTGGCCTTGGGCAGCAAACTGTGCAACAGCTTGACAAGATTCGCTTCTTGTTGGAGTCTCACCACCACGTCCCTTGTTTCATAATCATAGAGGACAGCTCTGCCCGCACAAGCTTGTAGCATGTCTTTGATGACGTCATTTTCTTCTTCGCACCAGTTTTCCAACTCAAGATGGCCGTCGCGTAGATTCACCGCCCCACCATCAACTGGGATCAAAATGCCTTTCTGACCTATCGCATGTTCGAATCTTTTAATCACCTTTTTTAATATAATGTTGTCTTCTGGTGAGAGCTGAGCACAGGACACCACCATCAGGATAGCGGTAAAATAACTTATCTCTTCGAGATTGGTTACTAAATCTAAATGCCTGTACTGACAGGAAATACCGGCATGTTCTATTTGGTGCATAACTGTGTCCACTGAATTACTTGGCTTGCCGAATATCAGGATTTTAAAAACATCTTCAACGTCTGCAAAAAAAAAAAAAAAAAAAAAAAAAAATTAAATAAAAAAAAAAAAAAAAAAAAAAAAAAGATTTTGAGTAGAATAAATTGATACACTTAAAAATGTGATACATTTACAAACGTTTGTCAATATCAATTATGAACGTGGGGATAAATTGTGTACTTTTTCAGCATTTTTATAAATATTATTGATCACATCTGGTTACTTTCAAAATACAATTATTATTTCATGAATCTATTTCTTTAGAAATATTTCTAACTTTTTCAAAGAAAACTTTCAAATTCTTTACGAATATGTAAGTTTAAAAATGTGATTTCTACATCGTAAAATAAAAGTATAACGCTTTCAAATAAACGTTTTTTCTGTTAAAAATCCCATCATTCATTCATGGCCAGAAGCTAACAGCTGTATACCATAATCTTGTAAACTTAACTTACCGATGTCTCTATGATATGGAGGGTAGTTCCCAACAGCTATTCTCAAGTTGACTGTGTTAATAGAGTTCATAATGGTTTGCCACTCTTGACTGTGCTGAAATGGAGTTAAAGTTGACAGTTGTTCTTGGATCCCCCGCAGCTGTCCGCCATCTCTTAAAATGTGCAAGTTCTTGACTCGTGACTTCAAAGTCTTTGTCTCAGATTCCAAAAATCTGTCTTCAGTGAATCGTTCTTGGCCTTTAGGCAAGCTGTCAACCAGCTGTAGAAGCTGTGTCACCTGGAGCATTCTTCTCTCTTCGGATGTCGTTGTGTTATTGAATAGTAAGACCCTCTCCTCTAGGCTATCTTCTAATCTGTCATACCCTGAAGCAATACTCCTTAGAAACTCCTGGATAGTCGTGTTTGGGTGATCGATGGCAAAACTATCTCCTCCAGTTATAACCGATATGACGTAGGACCTGATAGCTTCGTCATCGAGGAACGTGTGGGTGAGGCAATGACAGACAGTGCCACTGTAACTCTTGATTCGTTGGTAGTTGTCGACACAAAGAATGGCATCAAAGCCCTCGGGGCAAAGCTCAAACGGTGTCGGTTTATTTTTCAAAAGATAAGCTTCAGACGCCTCGACCATAGTCAACGCAAAGCAGACATGTGAAAGAACTATTGTCGCTTGTTTGAGGCGAGGCTGGTTCAACAATGTGTTTCCTGTTTGGAAAGCTCTTCCGAATAAAATTGAATTCCCGGTGGCGCTCTTGCCAGCTTCAGATTCACCAATCAGCAGGAGGCGAAGTCTTCTTGTTGTCACTGAGCCTAATCGATAAAACAAAAGTATGTTAAAACAGATGTAACTTTTAATAAAACATATTGATATATTATAAACAGACAAAGAAATCGTCTCTCATTTCTCTTCATATAGTCAATCCCTGATAATTGTGATGACGATAAATTACAAACTGAAAAGGAGGAGCGCGCCGCGAAGCGACACGCACATTATGTGCATCAGGTGTTCTCCCTCAATCATTACGCATCAATAGATCCACTGCAAGCCCAGCCGGTCAAGCACACCAAGTGGCATGTTCTTGTGGTATAAAACTAAATTTACATTCATTTAAAACATCGTTCTGATAGTCCTCGACGCTATTGCGCTGCTTTGATTAAGAATGGTCTTTAAGATTGGATTTCGACAGTTACAAAAATGTCTAGGGGTCAACTAGACAAGACTCACCTGTGTTTTCACCACTTGTTGAAATATTATGAGCAGCAGTACTGTCATCTGTGTCAACCATGCCTGGGTTCTCATCATTACTCTTTGAAAACGCGTGGACGTAATCCACAACATCTTTCCAGCTCGACATAAAATCAATGACTTTCTTACTTTCTTCATTGAAATTGTCCAGTAACGTATTAACTCTGCTGCCAGCGTTACTAATTCTGCTGTCCAAAGTTGCCATCTTTGCCTCATCAGTGGTAGATATTGACAATGCTTGTTCTAATTGTGAAATGTTCTCTCGGCATCGATCACTGTTGACTCTAGCACCAATATTTTGAGCGAGGCCTACTACCGCGGCAATGTGTTCTCTCATCTGCGTTTCGTCACAGGGTTTAGATAGTTCCTGCTGTGCTGGACATGTTTCATTGTGTGACACTAACTGGACAATCCAATGTAATATAATGGAGTTGTCGACGATATAATTTTTGACCCGACTCATGTGTACTTGTACATTCTGAGAGAAATGGCTTGAAGAAGTCTCTAGCGTAGGTTTTGTGAATGTTGAAGAAATCGTTTCTAAATCAAGGGATTCTTCTGTATTTTCGTTAATAACCGATACCTTCCATTTCACCACCACTGGCCATGATAAATCACTTGTTGCATTTCCTGGACAACTCCGGATGCTAAGACACAGTGCATCCATCTCAGTTTGACTGACACACGTCTGAAATTTGAAGCGATGAGGTTCTCCTAAGACTTGGATCGGAGAGTAGTTGGGAATATCAGTGAGAGCAAGCTTACTAGAGACTGTTAGACCGCCAGCCTGTGATTCCTTCAGTAGAATCTGTTCCATCAACCGTGTACTTTGGGAAATCATTTTAATCGCCATCTTTTCTTTTTTGTTTCTGCTACAGTAATGGAATCTGTGAATATTCAAGAATTCAAATAGAACAGTAAAACATATTGTGACGTTTATACAGTTTAATTAGCAAAACAAATCAAACATCTTCTTGTGGCATTCTTTTTTTTTTTAATGCGGACACAATATTTGTGTAAGTATTCTGGGCTTTTTGTGCTTAAGCTTTACTGTTAAACCAAGTAAAGATTATGAAAATACAAGATCGAAAATGAGTTGCATTTCAAAATAAACTTTGCACGGTTAATATCATCGATATTCAATTTGAAGAATGTGGAGTAATAATATCAGTTATTAATTTTCTTTTAAACTTACCTAGCGAAATGCAAATTAAAAGCTCTTCAAAAATTCTCGAAAAAACTAATAATCGAGTTCATCTCAATTTAAATTTAGATTATTGCACATCTCCACTTACAACTACCGGTTTACATAGCCTCAGTCAGTAGCTCCTGTCACAATGACTCCAGGGGGTTAGTCTGTCGTAAAACCAAGACATGTGTACAGCGTTCTATTTAAAGGAGGGCTGAAGTGAGGTGCCCCAAGAAAACGTCATCTGAGATCAGCTGACCAAGAAGAAGGCACCTGCTAATAAAGGTGACCTCTGATAGAGAACATTGGACACCCTCAAAGGAGGTAAACCACGCTTCTCACTAACAAGGGTCAGAATGGTGAGCAGAATGGTGAGCAGAATGGTGAGCAGAATGGTGAGCAGAATGGTGAGCAGAATGGTGGGCAGAATGGTTGACATAATGGTGAGCAGAATGGTGGGCAGAATGGTGGGCATAGTGGTGAGCAGAATTCAGAGCAGAATGGTGAGCAGTGTGGCCGACCACCGAAGGATGATTGTCTTCTGAGCCCCTAACAATACGGAGTCTACAAGGCCTACAATCAGGCCTTGTCAAAACATGCAAACGACTTGACACTAACTGAAATGAAGTCAAAGTCCCCAGTGTCCCTCTATGAAGTGGTTAAAGTTGAAGTCAAGAGTCTACTAGTATCAAACCACACTTATGAATATTTAAAATCATTAACTATAGCAGAGAAAAAACTCAACATTGCATGGTTGATTCGACAAGAGACCACCGTTGTTTAAGTGTTTCCAAAAATCAACTTTAAATCATTCTGGTCATTCCTGACATTCACACCAAATATCAACCTTTTTACAATTATTTTAAAAACTTGATTTATTCCAATACCGACACTAACATTTTGGGTTTTTAAACCTAGTTACGACCTATCGGATCTACACATTAAAATACGGGATAGGGAGTTTTGATCTAATGTTTACTTTGCGCAGTATATTCAAGATATATTGTATGACGATTCAAAAATATCAGTGTACGGTTGATCCTTGTTGTGCAAATCAATACCATTACTAGTGAGACTTATGTCTAAATTAGTAGTGAGACATTTCTAAGATAATAGAGAGACGTATTTCTCAGTTAGTGGTGAGACGTATGATTAAGGCAGAGATTATGAAATCAGAGTAGCTTCTGTCTTTCTTTCTTTTCATATGCGTTATTTGGCGAGGCAAAGATCAGCTAAAAAAGTTTAACTCATTTAAAATTTAACGATGAGACTAATTTTTCAAGGTAGGTATAATTTACATTGTCCATACGTACGGCGTACCGCGAAGGGCAATATTGTTAAAAAGAATAGCAAGTGTTATCACCTACCTGAAAAAGGCTTTGGCTTAATAAAAACATGGCGGCCCTAATCAGGTGTCACAGTTGCGCATGCGTTGTTCAATTATTTCAAAGAACCCGTACCAGTGAACTATAGGAACTGTGGTCGGTCGATACCGTGAAATCATATAGGGGAAATAGCACACCGCCCTTGAAACTTACGGACAATTAACCATCACAAAGTTGTTTGATTTTAATAGTAAGTGTTTGATTCTACAGTTGCTAACTAACTTTGATTCCTTCTTTAAAATGTTCCTATGGAAAAAGAATATTGTTTGTTAACATAATATCCCCGACAGATTCTCCACAACGTGCTGCAAATATTTCATTATAGTTCTAAAGATTGTTTTGAAACTAATGCGGTAGCCAAACAAACAGTGATCATTGCAATGGGGTCTAAATACTCTAAACGTTTCACAAATCAATCTAAGTGTATAAACATGTCATGTTCTTTCGTCAAAATATGTTTGCAACTTAATTTTCTTTAAAAATGCATCATTATTTGATACTTTAGAAGCTCGTTGTCTGAATGCATTTACTTTTCTTTCTAATTCGTCACGCATTTAAATAAATTTACACAAAATATAACGAGGAAAATCATCACCATTTTAACATAAAATAATGTGTGTCTTAATATTATATCTATTATATATATATATATATATATATAATAATAATAATAATAATAATAATAATAAATTAATTGTGGTTGATCGTTGTAGAATTTTTTTGTATCTTACTATGGTATTTTAAAAACATAAGTTATCCTAATAATAGAATTCCAAGAAAAAATCGATAGGTCACTTTGAGTTGCATACGTCACTTTATATTCACGATTGTATTGCTGAATTGGGCAGAACTTACGGCGTCGTGCATATCTGCCGTTTAAATACGTTAAGGAAATGAACACAAGGCTTTGGCACGGACGCCTTGAAATCTGACAGTTCAATAATCAATTCCAGCTAAACACGTTGTAACGTTTTGATACATGTTGGCAAAGTCTCACACATGCGTTAGTTACTTTATAATAGGTGTAACAAAATTGAACCAAAGCTTTACGGATCTTATAGATTGCTACTTATAGATTATCGTGATGTATGATCGACATGATTTTGCCTACGAAAGGTTTGATGGACTAACAAGGATGGATATGTTTAATTCTTTCGCATATTACAGATCGGCTGACAATTAACATTTATTTAAAATTTAATCATTTACAATGAATTTAATCGATAGCAATGTTATCAAATAGTTCTCATAGATCGGGATGTAATTAAGTAGTTCTAAATTGGTTTAAAAATTATCGCTGGCATACTGATGATTTCACTGATCTGAAAAATGCACTAAATGCTATAATATTTATTGTATAGAAATAAATTTAATTAAAACATGGGCAATTTAGTCCAGTTGCAGTGCGTTTTTTTACAATTAAAACAGAAATATTTCAAAATGAAACATTGACATTAATAGAGTCTTTTGCAATCATAAAATGTCAGCATTTATATTTTTCCAGGCACTATCTTACTACCTGTATGTATTTTACAGAAAGATACAAATTATTTAACACACCAAATATTGTCGAGAAAACGAAATAAATCAACGTATTTAACTGATTTTATTGAAAAATCCATTGCTATTTCTATATTTAAACATGGATGAAGCAATTGTGAGATTAAACGACCATTTAAGGATAATCTTACCATATATCAATGAAAGAATACACACTATCCAACTTGATGACGAGACTAAGGTTTATGTTCATAAAATCTTGAGGTTCAGAGACAGATTTAGACAATATCACGAGGAAACAACGCCAAGGACTCTCCTTAGCTCAATGTACAACTGCATGGGTAGACTGAAGTTCTTTGCTGACCAGATGCTTTATATATACCTGGAAATATCGGAGAGAACCCCCAGAGAACCTAACAATCATCGTCCAGCTGTCCTGTGGCCAGTTATGTTTAAATGGAAATTAGAAATCGTCGACGAAGACAGCGGTAAGACAGTTTCGCTGGGGGAAGCCTCTTGTGTTTTCAACAGACCAAGGCAAGGCTTCGTGTCTCATCCAAACGACTGGATTTCTATTGACCTGGATACAATAGTCAGTAGCGGTTGCATTGCACCGGACGGGTCAGCGACATTGAAGTGGACTGTTGTTACGAAACCAATTTTACAAATCGAGAATGTAGCGGAGTTTCACGAAATACTGGAAACGTTAAAAACATTTTGTGACAATTATGAAGGACCAGAAGAACAAATCTCTTATATTCTGAGAAAAGTACTCGAAAATGGTGACAGAATGACTCGAATGGAAAATATACTTTCTGATATGGACAGTAAGCTTGTCATAATTGAAACAAGGCAAGACGACTTTCGACAAAAATTTGAAGAATTTCGGAAGGACGCGGCTCCAGTGTTTCAATTTGTTCGTTCTGAGCTTCAAAATAGAAGAGCACCACGTGAACAAGACCGATTATTTTTTGTTTAAACATTCAAATTGTTGCTTTTTAATTTATCTACACATTTTATTTGTATTATTATTATTATTATTATTATTACAAACAATTTCTTCAACTACACTTACGATAGTCTGATAGAGTAAGAACTATTTAATACAATTATAAACAATATTTTTTTAAAACGGGTGTGTCATTGCTCTGTTATTGTTTAACCGAGCTTACGATGAATTGGCTCTTAAACAAGTTTGCTTCAACTGTTCCTCCCGTTGAGATCCCCCGATGTGATCCCCTTTTTACATATTCTCTGCTGAATCCATGCTGATAAACCCTGTTGAAATCACTGAGGAGATACCCTTTTGATTTCACCTCTTGAGATCCCCTGTTGAACCCATAGGCCAGCAAGTGAGACTGGTGAACACTAGGGCCAGCAAGTGAGACTGGTGAACACTAAGGCCAGCAAGTGAGACTGTTGAACCCATAGGCCAGCAAGTGAGACTGGTGAACACTAGTGCCAGCACTTGGTGGTTTAGTCCGATTTCTGCCTCTCTGGAAAACTATGGGCAATCTGGTGTAGATTATGAAGCGCCTGTATTAGTTGAGTTGATCAAAGCACTTTAAATTAATATGTTTTATGTTTGAAAAAGTATAATCCTATTAATATAAAAATGATTAACAAAACTAGTATAAATTGCTGTAAATCAATTTCATGAAAGACAAAATCTCCAACAAACCATTAAAAACTTCATGAAAATACAACTTATTCGAATTGATAATAGATCCGTTAATCTATTCTCTTTTCTACGCTTTTAATTTGAAAACTATAGTGAAACATAGAAATTTGATGCTTATTTTCTTAATATTAATGTGATTACCTATTTTATCCGAATGTGTGGCTACTTATTTTATCCGAATGTGTTGTTACCTATTATATTCGAATGTGTTGTTACCCATTTTATCTGAATATGTTGTTACCTATTTTATTAGAATGGGTTGTTAAATATTTTATTTACATATGTGGTTAATTATTTTATTGATATGTTTGGTTACCTATTTTATCCATGTGTGATGACCTATTTTATCCATACGTTAAATGACCTATTTGATCCGTATAAGGGATCATAAACTTAATAACTTTTTAAAATGATTTCAGTGTTATTTAAACGAAGACATTATTGGTTACAATTTGGAAGTTCAATTTTCATGAATCGCATGGTTGATTCATTTTATTTTGAAATAAAATTACTCTTACTCTTTATGTCACATTCTTTATGTAGAGATTCACTATTTCTCGTTTTTATTTATCTATAAGCATATTAATGTTACCTAAGATAACATGGCCGCCACTGGAAACAAACTGGCAAATCATGATTTTAAATAAGAATAATACTGATAGTAAAACATCAACAACTGATAGTAAAACATCAACTAATAATAGTAAAACATCAACAACTAATAGTAAAACATCAAATACTAATAGTAAAACATCTACTACTGATAGTAAAACATCAACTAATAATAGTAAAACATCAACTACAATAGTAAAACATGAACTACTGATAGTAAAATATCAACTACAGATAGTAAAACATCAACTCCTGATAGTAAAACATCAACAACTGATAGTAAAACATCAGCTACAGATAGTGAAACATTAACTACTTGTAGTAAAACATCAAATACTAATAGTAAAACATCAACTACTAATAGTAAAATATCAACTGTTAATAGTAAAACATCAACTCCTGATAGTAAAACATTAACAACTGATAGTAAAACATCAACTACAGATAGTAAAACATCCACTACTGATAGTAAAACATCAACTAATGCTAGTAAAACATTAACTACTTGTAGTAAAACATCAACTACTGGTGGTAAAACATTAACTACAATAGTAAAACATCAACAATTGATAGTAAAACATCAACTGCATTTAGTAAAACATCAAATCCTGATAGTAAAACATTAACAACTGATAGTAAAACATCAACTGCATATAGTAAAACCTCAACTACTGATAGTAAAACATCAACTGATGGTAGTAAAACATTAACTACTTGTAGTAAACCATCAACTACTAATAGTAAAACATTAACTACTTGTAGTAAAATATCAACTACTGATAGTAAAACATCAATTACTGTTACATTTTGAAACATCAGATATAATACAAAATAAAATCGCCCTGACCATTACATCACCGATAAATAAAGTAGAGATTTTCAGTAATATAAATAAATCTTTATTTTAAATATAAAATCTTAATTAAACTTTATTACTACATTTACCCCCCCCCCCCCAAACCCCTCCAAAAAAATCTACACACCGATCGACTTAAAATATTTTTTAGAGAAGTCGATTGGTGTATAGATTTTTTTTGGAGGGGTGGGGGTAAATTTGTAATAAAGTTTAAAATATTTTGTGTTAGACTGCTGGATTCAACTACTTTAGGGTCATCTTTAAAGCCAACCTCAAATTGTTGGAGTTTAAGAGACCATTCGTTTTTTTTTAGGACTTTTTGTACTACGCTTCGAGCTATTGAGGATGAAGCGTGATTTTAAAATAAACGTTATTATGATTATCTATATACTATCAACATCTTGTCTCATCCTCTTGTAACGCCCACTCCAAAAGTTCATCGATACTATCATCATCTTGTCTCATCCTCTTGTAACGCCCACTCCAAAAGTTCATCTATACTATCATCATCTTGTCTCATCCTCTTGTAACTGCCACTCCAAAAGTTCATCGGTACTATCATCATCTTGTCTCATCCTCTTGTAACGCCCACTCCAAAAGTTCATCGATACTATCATCATCTTGTCTCATCCTCTTGTAACGCCCACTCCAAAAGTTCATCTATACTATCATCATCTTGTCTCATCCTCTTGTAACGCCCACTCCAAAAGTTCATCGATACTATCATCATCTTGTCTCATCCTCTTGTAACTCCCACTCCAAAAGTTCATCATACATAACCCCGCCGTGCAAATCGGTGCGTTTTTATTACGAAAGGAAACGCTAAAAAAATATGTTTTTAATTTACCAACGAAACAAACCACTCCATCAACAATAACAACCCAAAAATGAAGAATGTTAATAAATAGCACTCACAAACTTTTTCCTATAGGTTTATGATGGTTACCAATTGAATAGTTCACCATGTCTAACGGGAGTTTTAGGAACCTAAGAGCTTATTCACTAATGGCTGGTTTTAATTGTGGATTATTAAAACTCCAATAATTTTATTTTTTAGATAGTCACCAAGACAAGTAAATATGCCAAGGATTTAATTTTAAATAGATAGCCAAACATGGAATTTGAAGCAACACGAGATGAAAAAGTTTAAATTGTAGCCCAAATGGTAAACGGAAAACACTGTGGAATAAGTTTAAATGCCCTAAAGACGTGCGGCAAGTTATATCAGATCTGAATCTGGTGCTAAGGGAATTCATTCTTTGAATTCTACAGGTTCCCGTGGGACCAGCAGTCTCTTACAGTAAGTATTGATAACCACACTGAATGAACACTTGGTTAAGAATTCCATCATTGTAAACTAAATTTTATCCAGCAGCTCAAAAAATCATTTTTCCCCCTTTCGTTCAACTTTGAGAACCATTGTGATTCTTAGCCACCGTCTCAAAAAAGGCCTCAACGATTCAAGTGATCTCCAGCTGTTTGTTGACGTCATGGTCAAGGTTTCTTTCAGCTATATCTCCGGAAGGGGGGGTGGGGAAATGCTCCCCCACCCTTGGGGAAAGCCAAGTGCCCCCCGGAGCAAAAATATGTCCTGGGAGGAGCAAGAAGTATGACATAATTGGGGGGGGNCAACTGCCCCCCCCTGAAATCCCTGAAGTCCCTCCCCCCCCCCCCCAGGAAAATTTCTGAAATAATCGCTGGTCATGGTAGCTCAGTTCCACTCCTCCGTGTCTTTGACACTCCTCCCACACAACAGCTGCGTTGTTGAGCTCCAGAACTCATTTGAATGGCGTTTATTGCAATAAGCATTAAGAAATAAGGTGCTACACATGAAACAAAAACTATCAAAAAGGTAGCCTCTCTATCTTTTTTTCCACCATTTCTTGTGAAGACTAGTTTTAATAACATTTATTTCAATTATCTTTCTTTTTGGTTTACTTGCAAATCTAGAGGTGGATCCAGGGGTCTGAGGATAGCGTGGATGGAGAGAGAGAGAGGGGGGGTGGGGAGAGGGAAATACATTGTCATATTATGTGCGTGTGTGCCCTCATTCAGTATATTATAGAAAGACACATGCTACGCAAATAGCACTCGGACAGAGTTGTTTAAAAATGTTGGGTTGCGAGACGGCAAGGCCATTCAGGGCTCCGTATTTGTTTACCTTCGATTTTAAGATTCCAACGGACGTAACATCTTGATTAAATTTTACCGAATTCACGTTGCTCAGGTGAGATATTTTCCTTGCATGGACATCGACATGTTACACTTGTCGCCTGATTGGGAGAGCCCCAGCACATCACGCTTCGTTGAAAGGCTGAGAGCTGCCAGAACTGGTGTCTTGGTCTGCTTCTCTGCCTTCCTGTTGATTACGGGAATACCCGGTGAGTTGTCTTAGTCTGCTTCTCTGCTTCCTATTGATTACGGAATACCCGGTAAGTGGTCTTAGTCTGCTTCTCTGCCTTCCTATTGATTACGGGAGTATCCGGTAAGTTGTCTTAGTCTGCTTCTCTGACTTCCTATTGATTACGGGAATACCCGGTAAGTTGTCTTAGTCTGCTTCTCTGCCTTCCTGTTGATTACGGGAATACCCAGTAAGTTGTCTTAGTCTGCTTCTCTGCCTTCCTGTTGATCACGGAAATATCCAGTGAGTTATCTCAAATTTGATGCTTTTTCTCAA